TTAATTCCTATATTTTTATAAGCTAGTAAATATATTATTATTCTTGTGAATAAACAATCGAATTAAATAATTAATTCTCGAGAAAATAGAGAGTCCATAAATCAGGTTTTAAATGTTTATGTTTTATTAAAATTGTAAAAATAGCTTTTTTAAATCAAGGGAGTCAACATTAATTGTGGTGTCAAGAGAAAAAAACATCATTGTGACTGTGGGTTATCCCACTTGGCTTCTCCAAACGCCCATTAGACGGCGCTGCGACAGGTTCGTTTCATCGGTCAATGCACATACACACACTCTTGTATCACACACACAAACAAGCGCACACTGACAAGCCAATTTTTTTATGTATTTTCCTTTACTTTCAATTGTGTGTATATTAATGTAATTTCTTTGTGCTAATATATGCATTAATTGACGTTTGTTTAGAAATTCCATGTTTTGCGTTAATTATTTTTACCCGGTCACTCATGAGTCCGCCAATATTGCTAGCGGGATAAATGCGCCAGAAGTCGTTAAATATTAACTGAAAAACGCCCCCACCTTACAACAAAAGAGGTGACCCCGCAACATGACACACCATTTTTGCGGATAGGTATTTTAAACTTTAATTTTATTTTAACCAGTGTTGTCGAACCATTTGCGGCTCGCGATTTCTATTTTCATTATTTTATAAGAATGAGGAATTGTGGGATATACGAGATATGATCAAAAAGTATCGGGACTGAAGCTGCAAAAGAAAAACTACAACACATATCAATTCGGCATTTAATCTCCTTCGAAACAGTCTCTTTCTGACGCTACACACTCTATCCAGCGTCATTTCCAGTGATGGAAGAAATTCCTGGAACTCCTTCTTTGGAATAGCGAACAGTTGTCTCGCCGCATTCTTTTGACTTATTTTGACGTCTTGAAATATTGTTCCTTTTCAATTGATTTTTGGAAAGAGAAAAACGTCGAGATCTTGAGGACATGGCGACTGTCGGACCTGCTGTACCAGTTGCGCTGAATGGGCAGGTGTGTTGTCATGGTAGAACTGCCACTCACCGGACGCATGCAATTCTGTCATTTTCCGACGAACAGTATCCCATGAGCGCTGCAACACGTCACGTTAGTACTTCTTGTTTAGGTCTGATCAGGCGAAGCATACTCATGATGAACAATGCCTTCTAGTCGAAGCATTCGATCCATCCCTGCTTTCTTTGGTCTCGAAGAATTTGGTGTCTTCCACTGGTAAGACTGAGCCTTGATTTCGGGGTCATAGCCATAGACCCACGATTCATCACCTGTTATGACTGTTTTCAAAAGGTTTTCTGTGGTGCGGTGAAACGACCACACTCTACACACTTTCCTTCCAATCACCACTTTAAACAACGGAAGTGAACGAGAACGTTTTATGTTAGTGTGCATAGCTGACAGAGGCCAAAGTCAATCAGTGCCAAGCGGCTTCACTCTGCATACTAGGGTTCCATAACCATAGCAACAATCCCGATACTTTTTGATCAAACCTCGTAATTAAAATTGTTTTTAGATATCTTGCTGTACAACAAACGGATCCAGAATTATTTTCTTAATTCTATTTCTAATATAAATTACCTTCAAAATAATAAATTATAAAGATTTATCAATGAATGATATACCTAACTTTTGAACAGACGGAGTAAGTTTAATTCTTGACCGGTTGCAAGTCAAACATATAAAACACACAATAAAACTAATTTCTGAGTCTTATTGCGTTTTGAGCGCTTCTTAGAATTTAAGCATTCACTCTTCATTAATGTATCATTTACCCTTGTCCTTACATAACCACAGTGCGTATAATGCTTCCAAGACGTTCCCCAGAAATGCTACCTTACGACTCTAGGATCCATGAATGGTTTCTGCCTACCTATGTACTAATGTAGGTACCTCCACTTTTTCGCTGAAAAAAACAAAACAGCATAGCATGATGAAAAACGGGCCACAAACTTAATAAAAACAAAGTTTTATTATTAAAATGTTTATGTTATTATTAAGAGGAAAGAATAAAGTATTTTTAAATTATTTTATTAATTTTTTAATCCCTTCTAGTGCGTTCAAAAGTTTGGTTAATTTTTTGTTTTACATCAGCGGTCGACATAATATTTACGATTAGTGTTTTCGCACCTTTTTCAGGTAAAAAAAAAACACATTGATTTGGAAATTCTTGTAAACAACAAATAATTGTAGGATTTTAATGAAACTTTCAGGTCTTATTCACAAACGAATGAAATTATTTTTGAAAGTTTTCTCTTTAGAAAATCTTGGTAAAAGTTTTTACATATGTTACTCCTCAATTACATAATTGCATGAAATTCCGAGAAACTAAATTTTTCCTAGAAATTTTTATTATTAGATAAAAGCAGAACTCCTTGGAGAATGTAAATCATCAATTTTTTTTCAAACTACTACACACTTCCAGTTAATCCACTCCGAATCGTAAAATAAAAAAATGTAATAAATCTATGAGATTATTTAATTAAAAAAAAACAAAAAAACTTTTAATTGTTTTTATAAATAAGATTTATTGAAGACACTATTATCTTAAAAAAAAGAATTTTTCGATGAATAATGATTTTTTACAAGAATTATTTTCATTTTTTGCATGTTAGTTATAATAATTTAGAATATTAATAAGCTTAATACAAATCATTTTGCAGTAAGATTTTTAAAATAATTTTTAATTTTTTTTATGTATATAAGATATTACGTAACGTGCCTTTGTTTGAAAGTATCGTCGACCATACAAGATATCAGAAAATAAGAGCGATGACTATAGTAAATTTAAAGTCAACATTCCTAAAATTAAATTAAGAAGAATATATTCTAACATTTTTAAGATTACTTAAAAATGATATAAAAAAGGCGCTCACTCGTTATTTTCTTAGATTATATTTTAACAGCTATAGTCGCCGAAGAACAACAATAAACACGTTACAAGTACCTGTTAAGTGATCTATGAATGACAAACGACGGTTACAAGCTACTGTTTGTTTTAAAAATCTATTTCTGTTATTTTAAACTTGAACTTAATTTTTCTTTCAAATCAAATTAATCCTACTTTAAATCAGCTATTATTCCTCACATAAAGTTTGAGAAGAGAATATTTTATTTTTGGAAGATTTTTAAACCCGAGAATTAACTTTTGTTTACAAATGTATCAAAATGTATAAAATGTAATGACTTTACTAAAAGCGACCAATTGAGATTCCAATCAATATAATTTCAATTTGAAATACACCAGAGTATTTTGCTTACTGGAATTAGTAAATTTAATCATTTAGCTTTCAATTAAAGCTAAAATGAAAGCTTCAAGAATGTTTTTTCATTTTTAAAAATTCATTTTAAACCTTAGGTATCGAAAATTTAGTGGAGGTACCTATACTTATGGCGAATATTTATACCAAATTTCACGGCCACGCACGATCACGAGTTCCGAAGTGAATGTAACAAACCCGACTGGAATTCGAACTTGGCTCTATGATTTCTCATTGCGCATGCGCATACCTTAGTTAACATTTTCCAAAATATCAAAGGAAAATGGATTGTTTACAAATTGTAGAACAGAACGCGTCGTAATTAATTTTCACCATTGACAACGATTTAAACTTCGCTATTTTCACTCGAAGTGAAGAATATCATTCCACGTTGGCCATAGTCCGCATGAAATCTTTGAAAGAGAAGCTATATTCACAAAAATGCTATGTGGCCGAGTGGTTAGAACGTTCCGACCAAGAGACCCAGGTTCGAATCTCACCATGGTCTTGATGTTATCGGTTAGAATTCAGCGTGATGCCTTGTGAGTAGAATTGATTAGAATGAACTATTTGTCAAGTCATCGTGACCGAGTGTTTGAGAGTACTGGCTTTGATCACTTTAGATAATGCTCTCCTTCCCTCTATTTCTTTCAGAAACTTTCGCTCAGCATAGTTGTAATACTAATGGGCCCTCTGTGTGTTGAGCAAACATGAATGTGCCTGAGCTGGCGTCTGCAATAGAAACTGGCTAACCATAGCAGACAGGCAGGCTTGGATATGCCATTATTGTGTGTTACATGGAAATGGCACCCAACGAAAAATCACGTCTCGCAAGTCATTCGAGTTTGAACAAGACTTGCGGACAAGCACTACTTTATCCGTGATGTTCTGTTGACGATACAAGAAAGGACCCACTAGGAGGGCATTCAAAACAAGCATCTACCAGATATGGGAAGATACAAGATGGTAATTACTAATTAACCCATAGCTGGGGGAAGATGCGAATTCATCGCAATTTTGATAGACAAACAGGGACATATAATATGGGTATTAAGTGGGGGATCATTTATATATTACAATCACTATATAAACTGATCCCTAACTTTTTGGCCATGGTACTTTCTATATATTTATATTTCAAAGAATATAAATAATTCTAAGACATACCTACAAGAAATTATAATGTGGATATAAAGTGGTGGATCAATTCTATATTACGATCAGTATCGAAACTGATCCCTAACTTTGTGGCCATGGTACTTTCTATATATTCTAGAGAATGTAAATAAATCTAAAAGACATGCCTACAAGAAATTATAATGTGGATATAAAGTGGGTGATCAATTCTATATTACGATCAATATATAAACTGATCCCTAACTTTGTGGCCATGGTACTTTCTATATATTTATATTCCAGAAAATGTAAATAATTTTAAAAGACATGCCTTTGTACCTTATCAATATTTCATTGATTAGTTTTTACGGCTTATCAACCCTTTGCAAGTTATTTAAAGCCAGAAAATATTTTCAGAAAAAAAAAGTGCTTTAGTGATACAAGTCTTACTAATTAACCCATAGCTTGGAGGAGAAGAGGTAGACCCATATCTTTGCCAAGAGTATTTGCATCTAAGGGAATATGATGAACCCAACTGGAATTAGAACTTGGCTCTCCGATTAACAATTCCCGAGCCATTATCTATTACACCACCTGCACATTGAAGTTTAAAGCACCTGGTATTCCCAAGTGGTCACCCATCTAGGTACTGGCCAGGCTCGACATTGTTTAACTTCTGTGATCGTTATTGGTTTTCGAAAGTTTCATTGTTTTTCACTTCTCTCTGAACCGAACATGTGAGCAAGTTCTGGAGACAATGGCGACAGGAACGAGAGATCTAGTTAAAAAGACAACTGAAATTTCGAGGACACATATGGAGGAAAAAGGGTTTCACATGACAGATTAAAGGCAAGAGAGAGACGACAGGTGAATGCAACACACAAGCTACCTGGCGACCCCGAGTGAATGAACAGAGTTTGGGAAAAGATAGTAAAAAGATAAAATCTGTTAAGAGTTCCAAAGAACCAGGTAATCGTGGAGAGCGATGATCGCCAACGTCCTGCAGAAACACGACACATAGAAGCAGAAGAGGCAATTTTAATGAATGCTGGTTGACTTAAAAATCTATTTTATTACTTAAATTGTTATTTGGGACGGACTTCAGTCAATAGAAATATGAAACCCCCGTCGATTCGTAGTAAGATGTGACCCAAAGCTGGTTTCACAAGAACAAAACCTATTTAGTATTCACGATCACTATGGCGGTTGGAGGTGACACGTGGTTAGTTTCATGCGGGATGCCCATATACGTACAAATAACAATAAGACAAGTAGCAGGTGTTAGAGCAGCGAGGGAGCTACTGTCATAGGTATGGGATCTCCAGGACCAGAATTTCTTTACTGCTCGGTTTCAAACTATCCTAAAAACAAAAACAAAATGACAAGGCCTTGCGTCGGTCGATACTAACCCACCACCCCACTGTCGTAGGATGTGAAACAAAGTCATGTTTTTTTAAAAAAAGAAACAATTCACCCCAAGGAAGGTAATAAAGCCACTAAGACGCAAGGAGGTGGTACCGGGGGCATACCTATGTGCACAGCCATTGTTATGGCATTGATATACCCTGAACACGACTTCCTCGTTCAAAAAAACGCACACAAAAAAATAATGACATGCCCAAAGCGAAAACCATGTCAAAAAGGAGACGAACAGATACTACACACTGAGCTCAGCTTGAAGGCCAGTAAAAGAATGCTGATTTGCTATTTATTCATCTCCCCATAGTGGCAAGATGTGACAACAAAATCGTTTTAATATGCGCTGCCCATACGCGTCCATATGGGCCAAAAATTTAAAAAAAAATCCCAGTTCCCGCGCCCACTATCACGATGGCGTTGGTATCCGCCAACTCTCTTTAGTACAATGGGGGAGGTACTGCTGGAGGGTTAGAATCACCGGTACTAGATTTCCGTCATAAAATTAATCGGAATAGAGAACAGATACTACATTTTATTTACTCGTCAACCTCCCGCCATAAATAGCGGAATATTGCACAAGACCGGTTTAAAATGGGAGGCTAAGCTCGTGCACATGGGCTAAGGCCAAAAATTGCCCAGTTCTCGCAACCAACGTAACACTGGTATCGATATTCCACTGACCTTCGCTCTTTGGTGCAATGAGGGAGGTGGTGAATCCCCGGGGCCAAGCATGCCTCATTTATTTGTTGTGTTCTGTCCGAAGACAGGAAGCCAATTGAGAGACAAAATATAGTTTGTCCGCCTGATGACAGATACTACACTTTGATCAGAAGAAAGAAGAACTCAGCAATAATGATTGAAAAAGAACAACGTTAAAGGAAAAATGGTAATAAAATGAAACCGTTTCAGATAAAGATAGAAAGGTAATTGTAATGTTAATATTAGCCGTTTCCTTATAAGGAAACATTCGGCAGTTATTGACCGAGCAGCCAGTGCCACTCTTCGTTTAAATTTATAAAATCTTTCTCTTAAGACTATTTTTCAGGAAAACAGATTTCTCAAGTCCAGTAGCTGTTATAGGTTTTTCCAGTACTGATGGGAGTTTCCTTCCTAACCTTTTGTTTGAAGTAGTGTGGAATGTCAGCATTTTGATTATGTCATCATGTTCTTTTCGAGTTCCTATCCATTTTAGTTGTTGCAGCTGTTGATAGTCCTCAAGTGATGTAGCTTTTGTTATCTGGTACAGTTCTTTATTTGTGATTCTGTAGCGCCAAACCATAATATTCAAAGAATGATGGTCTTTGTCAAGACCCAAAAGTTACAATCGCTCAAAGTTATATTTTATCATGGATCTTAGGAAGCGGTTGTATACAGCTGGTAATTTTTTTCTTTTTGAGTTATACTTGCTATCCATTTTAGTTGTTGCTACTGTTGGTAGTCCACAAATGTTGTGGTTTCTGTTATTTGGTTCAGTACTTTGTGATTCTGTAGCGCCAATTCACAGTTCAAAGAATTGTGATTTTCGGTCTGATCTACAGGTTTCACTCGCCATTTTTGAACGGGTCTGGCACCATTCATGACATCCATATAAAAGTCTGGATCTGACGAGGCTATCGAAGAACATGACTCGAGTTTTTAGGTTAATGATTTGGTTTTGTAGCAATATGTGGTGTTAGGCGAAACTACTTCTATCACAGTCTATTATATGTTCAATTTCGGAAGGGGTGAGAGGAAGCTGACAAAGGCCGATAAGGGAGATAACTCTAACATCCGAGCATAAACGTAATGGAGACTAAACAGGTCGAAATCCTTATGGGATGTATAACTGCTAGATAATAGAAAATAAATAAAATAGCTAAAGAAAAAAATATCCTTAAATATAACAGATATATGCAACAATAAAATCGAGTCTTTAAAAACGGGCATTTTAAAAGTATATGTAAATATATATATAATATATTAAAACAAAGTGCAGCGTGCCTTCAGAACGTTAGCGAGTATGGCTCTCCACAATTTCCTGTCCTTTGTAGCTCTTAATAAGTTTTGTCTTTTTGTTATATCTCCTAAACCTTGTTCCGCCATCTATCTACTTAAGCTCGCTGGGTAGTTATGCTCTATTTTCTTCTCGCCCTCTTGATTCAATATGTCCTGTGAGTATCACATTTTCCAAGCCCTCTTTCCTCATTATGTGCCATCGAAATTTAAACTTTTTCTTCCTGACAGATGATGAAAAGGACAGTAGTGCCAGTTGTTGGAGCATTGGGAACGATCCCGAAATGCTAAGAGAATTGGCTGGTGGTACTGGAAATCTAGGAAAGACTCGGGATTATCTAGGTTTTGAGATTGAAAATGGCTAGAATGCTGAGGAGAGTAATAGCGTACTGTCTTGCTGTCACTTGATTTTCAGGGTAATTACGCCACTGCTAGTTCAAGAACTTGATGAGTGACTAAATATAATAATAATAACTTTCTCCTCAATTGGGGTAGATAAGATCGCCTATTTCTCGGTTCACACTCCTCTCCCGTCTTTTGAACAAGATTAGATTTGTTATTCAGTGTTTCCTGTTTAGGATTGGGTTTCCGGTTCCTTCTAAAGTCTACTTCAACTCTATACTTCTAACGTCTCCGCCTAAACTCTGAAAAGTTATTTATTTATTTTTTTCCTTCAGTGGGAGTAGATAGGTTTTTTGAATAGGAGTCGAGGTTTATCCCTTGTTTCTTGTTTAGGATTGGGTTTCCGGTTCCGTCTAAAGTCTACTTCAACTCTATACTTCTAACGTCTCCGCCTAAACTCTGAAAAGTTATTTATTTATTTTCTTCCTTCAGTAGGAGTAGATAGGTTTTCTGAATAGGAGTAGAGGTTTATCCCTTGTTTCCTGTTTAGGATTGGGTTTCCGGTTCCTTCTAAAGTCTACTTCAACTCTATACTTCTAACGTCTCCGCCTAAACTCTGAAATGTTATTTATTTATTTTCTTCCTTCAGTAGGAGTAGATAGGTTTTTTGAATAGGAGTAGAAGTTTATCCCTTGTTTCCTGTTTAAGATTGGGTTTCTGGTTTCTTCTAAACTCTACCTCAACTTCTAATAGCGTCCGTTTCATACTCCTCTGCCATCTTTTAAACAGGAGTAGTGCTTTTTCCCTTGTTTCCGGTTTAAGATTGGCTTTCCTGATCCGTTTGAAATCTACTTCAACTTTATAATTCTGAGGTTTCCGTCTGAAGTCTGAAATTATATCCACTAATTACTTATTTATTTTTTATCCTAAATAGGAATAGATAGGTTCGCTAATCGCCCGGTTCACACACCTCCCAGGTCTTTTGAACAGGAGTAGTGGTTTGTCCCTTGTTTTCTGTTTAGTATCGGGTTTTCAGTTTTTTCTAATGTCTACCTGAATTCTATACTTCTAACGTCTCAGGCTAAGCTCTGAATTTTTATTTACTATTAAGCTTTTAATTTTCTGTCATTAGCGCCCGGTTCACACTCCTCGGTCTTTTTAACAGGAGTAGAGGTTTATCCTTTGTTTCCTGTTTAGGGTCGGGCTTCCTGTTTCTTCTAAAATCTTTTAATTATCAATCACCCCCATTAGCCCCTTGCGTCTTAGTGGCATTATCGCCTTGATTAAAATAAATGGATAAATAAATAAGCAGGCTGGATATCACGATAGATATATTAGGTTTTGTGTACTTGTACTCCAGTGTCACATTGTTGGATTGCTTCTCTCTCTCAATAATAATAATAATAATATATATATATATATATATATATATATATATATATATATATATATATATATATATATATATATATATATATATATATATATATATATATATATATATATATATATATAATAGCAGACTAACCCATCTTTAACCGGGAATGCTATATATATATATATATATATATATATATATATATAATAGCAGACTAACCCATCTTTAACCGGGAATTTTTCCGTTAAATTGGAGCAGTTTAAGTTTAAAAGTCAGCCCACCCGAAAATAAATACTTGTAACAACAACTGGGTGCAACTGAGGCACGTCCCCAAATGAGGTGTGTGTGGGGGGTAACAATATGAATAGGGGAGGCCTGACAAGGGAACTGTATAATCATAAATAATATTATTGTAATAATTTATACTATTTATTTTTTATTAAAGTTTGTATGAAAAAAAAAACGACATTATTACGTCATTATTTTTGCACCAACCTGATAAATAGTAAAATGTTGCTGAGAGTTATATAAGACAGCAAGTAGTGGAGAGCCATT